TATTTTATGGTCATGATAATGCAAAAAAATGGTAGTCTAAGACCTACTGCTTTCTAATAACATCCTCATCTTGTGAAACAAAAAAAAACAAACACGATTCGCGATTCGTATCACCACATATGACTGACTTTTCGTATCTTAAAAAAAGTCTTAGTTTTTAAAAATATTGAAATATTGAGCTTGGTTTTAAAAACATTATAAAAAAATATACTGTGTTTTTGATGCCAAACCAACCAAATTGCATTTTATTTGCTTCTTAAAAAAAACAATCACTTTGCAAAAATTCTGTCCGTTACTTATAACATATGATATCGTGTAAAAAAAGGGTAATGTTATTCAATTTTCGCTCATTTCTCGCTAAAAAAAGATCACAAATAAAAAAAATACTTTGCAGATTTGTCTATTAAAGGTTATTCAGGCAGAACCTGCAGTTTTAAAAAAAAATTAAAACTTTAAATTTGAAATATAACCTGCCCTACATATTTTGAAATAAGAAAAAAATCAACACCATAAAAAGCAGGTGAAATAACATACGTTTCGGACGTTAATCCCTAAAAAAAGAATTAATGTCCGTTACGTCACTAGACAGTAAGTTCTTTTACTTTCTAGCCGAAAAAAAATTCATCTTCGCAAGCTACAATGTAGAACTGATTCATATGTGTTTATTGTCAAAAAAAAGAAACTTCGTCCTCCGCAGTTTTTATTATCCGCCATCTTGATAGTCTCATCAAAAAAAAGATSCACTTCGCCAAAAAAGARAGACTTCARCATGCAACATCASGCTAGACAAAAAAAACTTAAGATGAGGGTAAAATAATCAAGTATGCTCTTCAGAATTAATAAAAAAAAAAAAAAACACATAATAACTCGAAATAGGGAGAGGTGCAAACACAATTTTTTTTAAGGTAAAAAAAACTGAATACTGCAATATAGAAAATTGAAAGGGAGGGAAGGGGGGATTCCCAGAAAAAAAACTCCCGGGCAGGGTTTGCGCTACTCCTTGAAATCCTTGAAAAGTCCTGGAAAAAAAAACTCGTTTTGAAGGGCGCTTGAATGCCCTTGTAAAAGGTGAAAAACCGTTTAAAAAAAAAAAAACTCCTGATGGAATCAATATGTTGCTTTTTGTCGTTTGGGTTGAAATGTAAAAAAATAAAAACCGCTAAAACTCCTGGAAAACTCCTTTTAAAAATCTGATGGAATCAAAAAAAAGCTTTTTGGCGTTTGGGTTGAAATGTGGCTATTTTGGAAAATCGCCACTGAAAAAAAAAGCAAACATCAAAAAATATCTTTAAAAATAATCCTTGAAAATCGCATTTTTGTAAAAAAAAAGCACTTGAAAAGTCCTGGAAATTTGTAGTGAAAATGTTTCACGAGCTCTAAAAAAAAGCCGGGGCAACCAGTTGTGACTTACAGCTGGCTAGGACACAAGAACAGATATAAAAAAACCAGCAACCCGTCAGCTCCTCCTATCGTGGGTCTATCAAGAAATTGTTTTAAAAAAAAAATACTGTTGTCCGTCTAATTTGGCCCTAAAACAATCACAGTCTTGTTGTAAGAAAAAAATGCACAGGTTGTGTGCGATGGTTGTAGGCAAAAGGGTTGCCTTTTAGTCCGTAAAAAAATTTAATTCGGTATTTATCAGCTTAATACTTGCGCTTGCAGGCTGCTGCCTTGAAAAAAATCCAGATATGTAGACTTATCTTCGGTAAAGCTTTTAGCGCTTTTTTTGGTTTAAAAAAACGGCAGAGCTTATCAAAGGAACTTCAATCTACTCTTTAACTGATTAATTTTTAAAAAAAATGTTAAAGAATCACCAGAATCCTAAATTAAATCATTTTTTTCGGTATTTATAAAAAAAAACTAATCAGTGTATAAAACATTCTATAGAATTACATGTAAAAAAATTCAAAAAAAAAATCTGTATAAAGTTCTTTTTCTGTTTGTTATCAAACAATCTTAAGACTCAATTAAAAAAAACAATACACTTGTTAACAAGTCCGYGTCCTATCATTTCAAATGAGGTATTGAAAAAAAAATTCCAGTAAATTATATCTTTCGCCATGGGAACAAACAATGTAATGATATGAAAAAAAAACTGAGTGGTTAACCTTCCCACCTCCAAGACGATCTGGTCAGTATGCTGAACAAAAAAATCCACTCCGGCAGCAAGGTATGGATAGGTAAGTGTGCTAAGTTCTATTGAAAAAAAAAAAATCTGTTCTCAACTTATAAGTAATTTCTCAGGCATTCTACAAATTAAGTTGAAAAAAAAAGATCTGCATAACGCTACAATACTACAAGTCTTTGAAGCAATACTCCATTTAAAAAAATAAAGAAAAAAAAACTGCTGCTTTATGCGACAACAGATTCTCTTGCGCAAAGAAAAAAAAAAACACAAAAGAGAGCATGCAAAAATGTCGTTATTACAATAGCCTTGAAAAAAAAAAATTTTTTCCCGAGCTCAGACCTACCTTGTATTCCTATTAGACCAAGTCTTCTGAAAAAAAAGGGCTAGCCGCAACTCGGGGAAAGTTTAAATTGTTAAAGCTTTTGTTCTTAAAAAAAATTCTCGTGCTTTCTTTTTTTGTTTATTTAGCTCTTTGCATAAGAGAACCAACAAAAAAATGAATCAGCGGTTATTCACTTTGAATTGGAAATTGCATTATTGGGGACATTGAGCTACCGGTGTTATCAAAAAAGTAAAAAACAAATGCTTTAACCTTTTGCTTATTCTTAAAAAAAAAAAGTTCCAGCTAAAATGTTTTTTTCCTTTTAGTAAAAACAGGATCAAAATCAAAAAAAATCAACAATAGAAAAAAAGCGTGTTTCATGATAGGAGAAAAGTAAAAATGCTAAAAAAATTTTTCAAATGCAACAGTTATATATCTGCGCGTCCAGATTATTAAGTTTTATCTGTTATTAATTTTTTTTGCTTACTGTTGGTTATAAACAAAATTCTATTTTCCATTTTTAAAAAAACAAAAACGAAAAAAATATAAGCAAACGAAGTTTCTACACTTCAGGCAGTCAAAAAAAAACGTAAAAAACAAACTTAGGCAAACGATTTTTTTTTTTGAAAATTAAAAATATAAAAAAAAACGTTCGACAAGTTTGTATACACAAGCACGGCATTTTGATTTTTAGATTGCAAAAAAAGAAGTTCCCGCGAAATACTAAATGTCAGACAATCCATTTTCTGAAAAACATTCCTACAAAAGTTAAATTCCAAGTGATAGAGCAAGGAGTCATAAATACAACTGTTTGAGTAACATAGATTCTATACATAAACACGTTGACTTTGAGAACACGCATTAGTACTTACGGTAAAAAAAAGAAATTTCAATACTTGACGTGAGTGTTACGAAAAACTAAATGTCAGGCAATCAAAAAAATCTTTTTTTTTTCCTTTTTTTTTCTTAGAAAAACCATAAGTTCAGGAAATAGAACAAGAGAAAAGCAAAGAGAACTGTTTTTCTATTTGATCACTCCGTCAGGCTACGTGAAAAAAAAACACTCCGAAAACAGCAACAAACAAAAAAGTCAACACAAAAGAAACATTCTTAAAAAAATCAAAACACTTTGCAAATATGACTATAGTGGAAGATGTTCTATGTTTTAATAAAAAAAATGTTTTGTTTACTTTTAAGGATGCTCCAAATGAAGATGCTTCATGTTTTTGTCGCCCTGTTATTTTTGAGCGGCATATCCAAAGGTTTGTATCACAAAAAGAAGCTAGTTAAAAAAAAAATAAGAGCAATTTAAAGCAAAAAACGATAACAATCACATATCGACGATTTTAAAAAAATGTGGCATGTATACTGCTTAATTTGCTCGCGAATACTGAATGAAATTGAAAAAAAAAAATCAGTTTATTTCATTTGGTCATCAATACGGCGGCGATGGTTTTTATCTATTTATGAGAGGATTCATTATTAGTGTATTGCATTTATCGGGGAAGCATATGCTGTAATTTCTAGAAGGGGGGGGATGCTATAATCATAGGCGCCAGATAATTCCTCCCCACTGCCTTTTGAAAATTGTTGGATCAAAGATAGGACAGTATTCTTCTTTTATAGTTCCAATTACTTATTCAAAAAAAAAAGTTTTGCTCTAATGTCTATGGGTTTTTTTTTTGGGGGGGGGGGGGATCTTAAAAAAATTATTATAGCATCGAAACTCATGAGTTTCTCTTGCTTCAATATAACTAAGGGAAAAAAATTTCGTGGAATTTTTGTTTTGACCAAGTTGTTGCAGTATTTCTCGGTTTCACAAAAAAACATCGCCGCCATTTTGAATGACTTTTAAAAGCATTCCTCATCAGTTTCGCTTAAAAAAAAATTCAACATGGCGGCGATAGCTTTGTTCTTTAATTCTCGAGGGATTCTDGAAAAAAAAATTGAGTAAACCCAAGAATGGAACAACGGCTATATTGAAGAGAATAAAGACAAAAAAAATTACTACTAKTAATAATAATATGTAAGCATCTAAAGCGCTTATATATAGATTAAAAAAAGCACTTTAAGTAAAAGGTACAAAGTAAGTAGAGATTTACAAAGAAATATAGATAGTCAGAGATCATAAGTTTGTTTAAATATAGGTAAATTTTAACAGTAGCTTTGAAGTCATCCAGTGAAAAAATGTCTCTGATTGAATTAAGATGGAAGTGTATTCCATAGAAAAGGAAAAAAAACACTAAGTGAACGAAAGATCGTAAGAACTAAAGCAATTTTGTCTTACAGGAAGAAGTGATGAATTTGAAATAACGTACCCTGAACGGTTACACCATTACCGACATAAAAGAGATCTCTCCACGGCTACCGAGGTACATCTCAGCTGCATTTGTCTTCTTTTTTCCTAAATTTGAAATGCAGAAGGCTGATTTATTACTTCACTAATTTTGCAGATTATATTTAATGTAAAAAAAAAGTTCGATGAAATTTGTTTCTTTTTTAGAATGGACAACACGAGCATCGCGCAAAAAAAAATATCAGAGCATTCAACAAGAAATGGATTCTTGACTCCAAGATTAACGAGTGAAAAAAAAAATACAAATCTGTTTTGAAATCTTCGTTATCTTCTATAAGAAATTGTGGTATAAAAAAAAGTGTAGAAATTACTTTCCGTTTGAATTTGTATAACTAATTGCCCTAGTTCAAAAAAAAGTCACATCAAAACATTCTATTGTTTTAACGCTAAGGATTATGGTCTCTAGAAGGGATCAGAGTGACTGCATTTCAAATAAAATGTACATGAGCAATCATTTATACATGATATATATCAAAACACGATTCACTGAAGTCCTACTTTAGTCGACAATATAAATGGGTCCAAAAAAAAAATGTTTTTGAGCATCGTTTTCCGATGTAAACATACTGTGACGTCATAATGAAAAAAAAAAATTCGAAAAAAGTTGCCGGATAGAATGTTTTTAACCATTCCCATAAGATTCGAAAAAAAAAAGACCGGCGGCCATGTTGGAGGAATGATCAATGGATACTAATGAGAAATCAAAAAAAGAAGTTTCTCCAAGATGGCCGCTGTAACTTGAAAACGAAGAATTGCCGAACGAAAAAAACGCGACAGAGAGGAGACATAATCTAGTGATGTGAGATAATAACTGATTTATAAAAAAAAATAGTCAATGATAAACATTTGATKTATCTAGTCTCCATTTCCAAGAAAAGTGAAAAAAAGAAGAGAAATTTTGCATATCAAACTGTGTAACCATACTCCCTTTCGGTCATATAATCTTC